CGGGGCATGGTGGCTCACGCCTGCTGATCCCGGCACTTTGGAGGCCGAGGTGGTGATCATCCTGAGGTCGGGAGTTCTGAGGACCAGCAGCTGACCAGACATGGAGAAAAACCCCATCTCTACTTGAAAATAACAAAAAAATTTAGCCAGGTGTCGGTGGCCAGGAGCGACTGTACGATCCCTTAGCATCTTGGCAGGACTTTTGAGGCAGAGAATATCTTGAACCCGGAGGTGGAGATTAAAGTGAGCTGGATCGCACCACTGCCGCACTCCCAGCCTGGGGCACAACGAGCGAGAACTCTCAAATAATAAAGAAGAAACATGGCCTTTATACGGCCTCCAGGAGTGCATGGATTACAGATTTGGAGCCACCGCACCCGGCCCTTTTTTTTTTTTCTTTTTTGAGACGGAGGTCTCACTGTGTCTCACTGTCCACCCTGGCTGGAGTTGCAGTGAACTGCAATTCCTTAGGCTCACTTGAAACTCGCCTCCCCTGGGTTCAAGTGAATCTCCTGCCTCAGCTCCCTGAGTAGCTGGGATTATATGCACCCACCACCCACGCCAGGGCTTAATTTTTTAATTTTTTTAGTGGAGGTGGGGTTTCACCATGTTGGTCAGACTGGTGTCGTACTCCTGAGCTCAGGCAATCTGCCTGCCTTGGCCTTCCCAAAGTGCTTGGTGTTACAGGGGGTAAGCTACCCGCATCTGGCCCATCTGTATTTAAATATTGTGGCTTTCATTGGTTCTATGGTTGTGGAACTGTGAATATGTATCTCTTTTTTTTTTTTTTTTGAGATGGAGTTCTCGGCTCTGTCGCCCAGGCTTGGAGTGCAGTGGGCCAGATCTCAGCTCACTGCCAATGCTCTGCCTCCTGGATTTACGCCATTCTCCTGCCTCAGGCCTCCCAAATAGCTGGGGACTACAGGTGCCCGCCACCTTGCCTGGCTAGCTTTTTTGCATTTTTTAAGTAGAGGGACAGGGTCTTCACACCATGTTATCCAGGAATGGCCTAAAACTGTTGCTATGTTCGGTCTATGCTTGTGCACCAGAAGCTGTTAATCTGTAAGGAAAAGTGGGGAGGATCGTTGGGAAGGGATGAGTAGGTTGGCACTGGGCTGTGAGAAACGGTGTGCGGTTTTGTTATCAGAGGACATGGACTTTCCAGCGATGTTGTGTTGTGGGGTTTGCGTTTTTAAGTTAGGTGCTTAGTGGGAGGTAATGACGGCATCTCAGAAGGCTTGCTCTGCTCGACTGTGATGGATACCCTCTGCTCTCTCTTTGGCAGGAAGCCCGTGCCTCTACTATTGGATCAAGATTATGTTAATTTAAAGAACCAAATAATAAAGGCGGAAAGACGAGTTCTCAAAGAGTTGGGTTTCTGCGTCCATGTGAAGCATCCTCATAAGGTGGGTGTGCGGCTCCTGCCCTGCAAGCCCGCCTAGGCCGCTGCTGCAGCCTGGCCGCCTCTCTCCACCTCAGTGCAGTTGAAGGCTCTGAAGAGGGCTGAGTGCCTCCCTGACTTGGCTTCCCGGTTTCCATCTATCATCTCAAAAGTAGCTCCTGACGCATTCGTCTTCTAGTGTCAGCTGTTTATTTTAGTAATATATTTTTAAGAGTTTTGGAAATGGCATTGTTTAAGTTTGGGCTTTCAAAAATAGTGATGAGTTTATAAAAATTGAATTTTAGTTTACATTTTTCTTTCTCAACAGTTAAGTTTTTTTTTCTTTTTTCTTTTTTTTGAAGTGGAGTCTTGCTTTGTTGCCAGGCTAGAGTGCAGTGGCATGGTGGCAGTGGCAATGGAGGCACAACCTCCACCTCCTGGGTTCAAGCGATTCTCCTGCCTCAGCCTCCCGAGTAGCTGGCCCTACAGGCACTGCCACCATGCCCAGCTGGTTTTTGTATTTTTAGTAGAGACAGGGTTTCACCACGTTGGCCAGAATGGTCTTGATCTCTTGCCCTCGTGATCCTCCAACCTGGACCTCCCAAAGTGCCGGGATTACAGGCATGAGCCACCGTGCCCAGCCTTTTTTTTTTTTTGAGACAGAATCTCACTGTGTCACGCAGGCTGCAGTGCAGTGGGGTGATCTCGGCTCACTGCAACCTCTGCCTCCCGGGTTCAAGTGATTCTCGTGCCTCAGCCTCCCAAGTAGCTGGGATTACAGGCATGCGCCACCACACCTGGCTAATTTTTGTATCTTTAGTAGAGATGGGGTTTCACCATGTTGGCCAGGCTGGTCTCAAACTCCTGATTTCAGGCGATGTACCCAGCTCAGCCTCCCAAAGTGCTGGGATTACAGGCGTGAACCACTGCACCCAGCCTCAACAGTTAATTTTCTAAAGTTGCTTTAGTGGTAGCCTTACTTCCTCTTATGGAGGAATTAGTGGAATTTTGGCCCCTTTAGTCTGAAATGACTGGCAAGTTTTGCGGCATGTACTGACTGAGGACCATGACCGCGACACTGTCCCTCAGTCCCAGCATCGTGGGTGCCTTCTGTGTTACACGGAAACAGAGCACTTGTTTTACTCAGAAAAATTGTTTCCATCTCCTTTATTACTGGTGGGTTTCCTCATTTGCTTGTTCCACTTTCTGCCATTTGTTCAAATTATACATAAATTGCCCACCACAGATTGAAGTGCTTTTCTTTTTTTTTTTTTTTTTTTGGAGTCGGAGTCTTGCTGTGTAGCCCTCTGCCTCCTGAGTACCTGGGATTACAGGCACGCGCCACCACGCCCAGCTAATTTTGTATTTTTAGTAGAGACGGGGGTTTCTCCATATTGGTCAGGCTGGTCTCGAACTCCCGACCTCAGGTGATCTGCCCACCTCAGCCTCCCAAAGTGCTGGGATTACAGGCATGAGCCAGCATGCCCAGCCTGAAGTGTTCTTCTTTGTTTGCTGAAAGTGTGTTGATACTGTATTTTGGTGAGTTGGTAATTGGGGTACAGAGACGTGTAGAACAGGCTAACCTCACTGGTGGAAAGGCCTTGGAGATGAGAATGAAACCAACCCCATGAAGAATGAGGCCTGTGCCGTGGGTTGTGCGGCTGGGCTCACAGGCATGCATCCTGCCTGGCTGCCAAGGCAGACAGCAGGTGCATCCGCAAAGCTCCCTCCAGCCGAGCCATCTGCCAGACGTGTGGCCAGGAGCCACTCCTGGGATCTAGCATGAGGCTCTTATTTGCTGCATGGACACCCACAAGATCTGAATTCTGGGCTCTTAAGGTTCTTGGTAATAACTGCCTGACCCGTATCTTCCAGATAATCGTTATGTACCTTCAGGTGTTAGAGTGTGAGCGTAACCAACACCTGGTCCAGACCTCATGGTGAGTTGAGCTTCCTTGTTTTATGAGACCAGCAAGGGCAGTGCAGGAATGTATTGACTTGAGGCACTTGGGCAGTGGGTAGGCAGCCCAGTGACTTGGTTGTGGGCTGGAGTTGTCCGAGTGCCCAGTGCTCCTGCTGTATAAATTCCAATCAGACTCCCAGAATGGGCACTGGCAGTCACGGTAGGTGGCCCGTCCCTCCCTGCAAGCGTGGACTTCCTGTGTCCCCCCGGAAGAGAGCAGTCAGTGGGCTTCCTCTGGGAGCTGTTGACTTGGCGCAGGAGGACCTTTTCCCGGGAAAGGTGGAGGGACAGGCTAGTGGAGACTTTGTCTGTTTCTCCGCTGACATTGCATCCCATGGGAGAAGGGCAGAGAAGGTTCTGGGGCTGATTTTAGCAACGCATGTGCTAGAAAGGAACCCTAAAGTGGCAGTTTAATATTGGGGATATTTTGGTGAATTTTTTCCCATGGAGTTAAGTCTGTAAGGGTCATATTTTTGCTGACTGAATTGTCTGGTGCTATGACATGTTGAATAGAGAACCTATTTTGACTTTTCTTTTCTGTACTCTTTCAATCAAAGGGTAGCCTCTGAGGGTAAGTGACTAAGACTTCTCCTCTGCTGTCCAAGCGCTTTGGTGCAGGGACAGCGGCGTCTTCAGCCAATCCAGTGCAGGCTCTCCACCGAAGGCTGGCTCTAGACTGGTGGTACGCACATAGCATAGCCATGGCCGACTCCTGCTGTGGTTCTCTGACGATTGTGCTTCTTGTTAATCCTCTGTCGTGCTTTGGTAATTGTATTGATTAGAGTTGATAACTGTCTTGACTTGAATTTTGTCCCTTTAAAACTGCTGTACCTGTATGATAAAGATGCAGTACCTTTCTCTTAAAAAAAAAAAATGGTATGGAAAGCTGTGAGAATTGAAAAGACAAATTGGCTGATGTCAGTGTGGGGTTATGTCATGATTTCTAGAAGCCCTGAAGTTGCTCTTTTCAGCAGCTTTGGGTGACACGCTCTGGTAAAAGGTGTGCATCTTTAAATTATTTCATGGATACTTTAAAAAATATTGTATCATTTCAAATACAGCAATAAGTTTCTATGTTCTCAAGATTTCATTTGTTTTTAAGAATTTAAAGTTCATGGATTAATACTATCAGTACTTGAATACTGAAAGTTGTTGATTAGAAACCGAAAGGTTACTGATTGTTGAGTGTATCTGTGTTAGAGCTGTGCACTGGCACGCTTACGTCAGGGGATGCGGCCACACGGACGCCACACAGATTCCCCCGTGATGCCTGGAGCTGCCTCCAGAGACTTACCATTTAGAAATCTCTGATGGGTTTGTATGTTACCTTCTCCAAGGTTTGTTTAGGACAGTTGCTGGGGGAGGGCCGTGGGTCGGATTCTCACACGACCCATCTGTCTGTGGGTGCAGCCCCGCTCCAGGGCTCACCGCTGTTGGGGTGTGTGAGGAGCAGTAAATAGAAAACCAGTTCACCTGTCCTCACGGAATTACCCCTTTTGTTTTTGCAGTATTCATAAAGCTAGTATAAGGTCTGGTTTTAGTCTATTAAATCTTAGATATCTGAAGGAAAATGCGAAAAAGGTAACCAGTTTTTAAATGTTTTAACTTTTAAAAAATGTAAATTTTTGTATTTTTATAGCTTCTAAACATGAAATTTAAAGAATGTACTGTGATGAAATGTTCAATATCATGTTGCTTCTCAGTATTGTGTTGCTTCTGATTCTATGAATGTTCATTTTAAGACTCCTTGTTGAAATGGGACAGTTGGCAGCGGCTCTGGTGAGCCCAAGAAGAGGCCTGCCCTTGGGTGCGGAGCCTGCCTCCGCACGACGCTCCCACGCGTCCAGCTTGCACCCGAGGGGCTTTTCCCTCTTCCAAGTGGACTCCTTCAAGGAAGCTGCAGCTCGGTCAGCAGACAAGGGGCCTGGCGCCAGCGCCCTGGAGGAAGAGGAAGAGGAACGCAAGAGGATGGCTTGTCTCCCAGCAGCCGCACCGGCTTTGTGCTCAGCCAGTTCATTTGAGTTTGCATGTTTCTCTGCACTATGGATTTTGAGCATTTAGATTTCTTTAATCAAAAGCGTTTTAGTGACTCCAGTAGACATTTTCTTTCTGAGGCATCGTGCTTTGCATGAGAGCAGGCCAAGGTTGAGGGGAAAAGTAAAGTTAAAGTTGGTTCTCTTTCATAGCAACACGTATTGTCTGACATTCAGCCAGCTTTTTTTTTTCTAATAATTTCTGTGCCTTCCTGTCCTGTATTTAGAAAAAGCAGCTAGAATATTTCTCCATTAACTCTTGAGATTCACAGGACTGTCTAGCTCTGAGTCCTAGCAATAGACTCCTTAGAGGAGTAGTAAATTGATCTAGACTTTCTCTAGATAATGCAGGCGGAAGACCTGGGTTCCCGGGGTGGGGCGCTGCAGCTCTTGCTGTGTTTGGCTTCCAGGAATTACATGAACGACAGCCTTCGTACCGACGTCTTCGTGCGGTTCCAGCCTGAGAGCATCGCCTGTGCCTGCATTTATCTTGCTGCCCGGACACTGGAGGTCAGTGTGTTGCTACTTTGGAGATATTCTAGTCTGATTTTTTTTTTCGCCAGTCTCCAGTAAAGTTTACTGTATTATTCTTCAAATTATGCTAATCTGGGCCAAAGCATTTTGGTAACCAACAGGCTGTTTTTTTAATTGTCCTGAGTCTTGCTGGCCTTGAAGTTGAGGAAAGTGTAACAATGATGGTGTTTGTTTTTACAGATCCCTTTGCCCAATCGTCCCCATTGGTTTCTTTTGTTTGGAGCAACTGAAGAAGAAATTCAGGAAATCTGCTTAAAGATCTTGCAGCTTTATGCTCGGAAAAAGGTTCTTCAGCATTTTTTCATGTCACGTATGCACTTGTGTTTGGCCAGAAACACCTGATTCTGAACGGACGCCTTCTGACTTTTGCAGGTTGATCTCACACACCTGGAGGGTGAAGTGGAAAAGCGAAAACACGCTATCGAAGAGGCAAAGGCCCAAGCCCGGGGCCTGCTGCCTGGGGGTGCACAGGTGCTGGATGGTACCTCGGGGTTCTCACCTGCCCCCAAGCTGGGTGAGTCTGTTAGGGTGCAGGAATCCACTCCGGCAAAAGTGCTGCGGTCGGTGAGCGCGCTTGTCCGCGCTGCGGCGCGCGCGCGCTGCCCTATAATTTGTGTCATGCTGGGGAAAAGTGCTGGCTCCGATATGCTTTGTTTTTTTTTTTGTGGTTTTTTGTTGGAGGCCACCGGGTGGGTCTGTTTGTCACCGCGCGAGCGGGTGGGGGAGTGGAGTCGGGTGGAATCATGCTTACGTCGCAGCTTCACTCCGTGGATAAGTGGTGGCGCGCTCAGCTTCTCGGAGGTGTAGTAGGGAGTACAGCAGCACGCCACCGAGGTGCAGTGCTTTGTGTGTGGTTTGCGTTTTTTGTTGAAGCGGGTGGGGTGGCGCGGGCGCGGGGCGTGCGGGGGGGTCGTCGCTCTGTTGCCAGGCTAGAGTGCAGTTGCGCGATCTCGGCTTACTTCAAGCCCGCCTCCGGGTTCACGCCATTCTCCGTGCCTTCCCTCCAAAGTAGCTGGGACTACCAGGGCACCCGCCACCGACGCCCCTAAGTGGGACGATGTTAGCCAGGTATGGTCTCCGATCTCCTGGCCTTGTGATCCTCCCTCCTTGGCCTCCCAACAGTGCTCGCCGGGATTACAGGCCTGAGCCACGTTCTGCCCAACGTCTGCATTTCTTTTTTTTTTTGTTTTTTTTGAGGACAGAGCGTGTGCTCTCTTGTTGCCCAGACTGAAGTGCATTGTCAGTTGTCTCAGCTCACTCAACCCTGCCTCCATTGGTTCAGAGCGATTTGCATGCCTCATGCCCCCAAGTAGCCTGGGATTACAGGCACCTGCCACCATACCTCAGCACATTTTTGTATTTTTGGTAGAGATGGGGTTTCTCCCATGTTGGTCAGACCTGGTCCTTGAAACAACCCTGATCTCAGGGTGATCTCCTGCCTCGCGGCCTCCCAATAAGTAGTGGGATTACCAGAACGTAGCCACTATGCCCCAGCTTTTCTTTTTTTTTTTTTTTTCTTCGGAGACCAGAGTCTGTACTCTGTTTTGCCAGCTTGGGAGTGCAGTGGCACCTATTCTGCGGAATCACTAGCAACCTCTGCCTCCCAGTTTTAGTGATTCTTGTGCCTCACCCTCCCAAGTAGCTGGGATTACAGGCGCCCACCACCATGCTCAGATAATTTGTGTGTATGCATGTGTGTGTATATATACACACACACATATATATGTTTTGGGTGTTTTTTGTTTTGTTTCTTGAGATGGAGTCTTGCTCTGTTGCCAGGTGAGTACTGTGGCGCAATCTCAGCTCACTCTAACCTCCACCTACCGGGTTCAAGCGATTCTCCTGTCTCAGCCTCTGGAGTAGCTGGGACTACAAGCACACACCACCAAGCCCAGCTAATTTTTGTATTTTTAGTAGAGACAGGGTTTCACCATGTTGGCCAGGCTGGTCTTGATCTATTGACTTCGTGATCTCCCCGCCTCGGCCTCCCAAAGTGCTGGGCTTACAGGCATGAGCCCCCGCGCCCGGCTCCATCTGCATTTCTGTGATGCCTGTGTAAGTTCCGGGTCCCAGGCTGGGAGCAGGCAGTTACAGTCTGCATCGCTGTTCGACCTGGAGGAGGGGCCTTATCTTGCTCTACTAACTTGTTTCTTACTGGGAGAGTTTTTTTGTGGTTGGCTTTTAACCTCTTGTTCTGATTCTAGTGGAATCCCCCAAAGAAGGTAAGGGGAGCAAGCCTTCCCCACTCTCTGTGAAGAACACCAAGAGGAGGGTGGAGGGCACCAAGAAAGCCAAGGCAGACAGCCCCGTGAACGGGTAAGACCCCTGAGCGGCCCGGGTGGCTGTCGGGGTTGGCTGGAGAGACTTCTGGTCTGTAATTGGCTCCTGTCCTGTTCACAGCTTGCCGAAGGGGCGAGAGAGTCGAAGTCGGAGCCGGAGCCGTGAGCAGAGCTACTCAAGGTCCCCATCCCGATCGGCGTCTCCTAAGAGGAGGTGTGTGCCTCGGGGGGCACCCGGGAGGCCAATACCGGGTGGGGCTGTCCCTCGGGGTAATCATTCTCACCTGAGGTGGTTTCTTGTTTCTCTAAACATGGAGCTTGTGTGTCTGAGCTCCTATGGCCGTGTTGGGCCTGGCTGGCCAGATGGTTGGTTGCAGAACACGTGTTCTTCCTCCCAGGAAAAGTGACAGCGGCTCCACGTCTGGCGGGTCCAAGTCGCAGAGCCGCTCCCGGAGCCGGAGTGACTCCCCACCGAGACAGGCCCCCCGCAGTGCTCCCTACAAAGGCTCTGAGATTCGGGGCTCCCGGAAATCCAAGGACTGCAAGTACCCCCAGAAGCCACACAAGTCTCGGAGCCGGAGTTCATCCCGTTCCCGAAGCAGGTCACGGGAGCGGGTGGATAATCCAGGAAAATACAAGAAGAAAAGTCATTACTACAGAGATCAGCGACGGGAGCGCTCGAGGTCATACGAACGCACAGGCCGTCGCTATGAGCGGGACCACCCTGGGCACAGCAGGCATCGGAGGTGAGGTGGGGTTGCAGTGACTGGCGGCCACAGGCCCTTCCCTGGGGGGTTCCTGATGGCTGCCCTTTGACCCCCGGGTGTGCTCCCTCAGCGCAGGTGACCCTAGAGCAGGATTCTTTTTGGAGATGTATGTTGAGTGGACCTTGGTGGATTTGGAAATGGAACTGAGGGACCGGTGACGTGCTTCAGACCGGTCTGGGGTGCGGCACACACCTGGGCCGTGTAGGGCCCGGCTCGGCGGCAGCTCTGAGGCCAGCTCGATGAAAAAGTGAACACACACGCCCCTGTTGGCGTGGCCTGGTGTGGCCTGGTGCTATCGGCAGCCGCTCTCCACTCCCTGACTGATACTCAATTACGTGAAGCCAAGAAAGATGATTTTTAGAATCTTTGCCTATATTAGGTTGTACTTATGTACATATTTTGCAGTGTTTCACAAGAGAAAATGGCCTTAATTGCCCCTTATTCTCTCTCCACATTGTAAATAAACATGTGTTTAATACAAGTTAAAGCTATATATGAAAACTCAGAACTTGAATCCTGTCAGCTTAAACCTTGTGTAGGGAATCCTGACTTTTAAACTGTGAGGGTATTTGGATCTGTGTTGAAAGTCGTATATTTTTATCTGTGCAGTGCTGAGTGCAGGCCACCAGCTCCTAAATAGAGGTTCCCTATATGCGCGTATGACATGGTGAATAAACACAGCTCTCTCCACTCAGGACATCTGGAGCGTTGTGGACGTGGTAGGTGGTCGTTCTGCGTGCTTGTGAAAGTGTCCGGCGTGTGCACAGCCGGCGTGCCCACTCTCGGGCTCCTTGCTCCCTGCTCTACTAAAGTTTTGGATTTTGCATCCAGTCCTGTGTGCCTGCCCTTCTGCTGAAAGCTTGTGGGGGTCCTGAGCCCCCTGCCCATCAGGATGACAGGCTCCTTCCTGCAGGGCCATAGGAGGGAAGTTTTGGAAACACACAGAATGAGTCCAAAGTGCTCTCGTTCCTGAGGGGGACTGGTTTGTAACCCATGACATCTGTGTGTGGGCGTGAGAGGCAGCTGGGAGCAGGACGCTTGGAGGGTCACCCCATCGGGGTGGCACATGCACTCTGAGTGCCCCCCAATGTTGTCAGCTGCCTCTTACCGTGGACTAGGGGGCCCCACTCCTAGTGGTACGGCTTGGGCTTACTAGGGCAGTGGAGCATATAGGCCGGGGCTAGTGGGATAATGGGGAGTTGTGCCTGATGCCTTTTTTTTTTTTGAGACAGAGTCTCGCTCTGTCACCCAGGCTGGAGTGCGGTGGCGTGATCTCGGCTCACTGCAAGCTCCGCCTTCCAGGTTCACGCCATTCTCCTGCACACACTCCCAAGTAGCTGGGATTACAGGCGCCCACCACCATGCTCAGATAATTTGTGTGTATGCATGTGTGTGTATATATACACACTTCTATGAATGTTCATTTTAAGACTCCTTGTTGAAATGGGACAGTTGGCAGCGGCTCTGGTGAGCCCAAGAAGAGGCCTGCCCTTGGGTGCGGAGCCTGCCTCCGCACGACGCTCCCACGCGTCCAGCTTGCACCCGAGGGGCTTTTCCCTCTTCCAAGTGGACTCCTTCAAGGAAGCTGCAGCTCGGTCAGCAGACAAGGGGCCTGGCGCCAGCGCCCTGGAGGAAGAGGAAGAGGAACGCAAGAGGATGGCTTGTCTCCCAGCAGCCGCACCGGCTTTGTGCTCAGCCAGTTCATTTGAGTTTGCATGTTTCTCTGCACTATGGATTTTGAGCATTTAGATTTCTTTAATCAAAAGCGTTTTAGTGACTCCAGTAGACATTTTCTTTCTGAGGCATCGTGCTTTGCATGAGAGCAGGCCAAGGTTGAGGGGAAAAGTAAAGTTAAAGTTGGTTCTCTTTCATAGCAACACATATTGTCTGACATTCAGCCAGCTTTTTTTTTTCTAATAATTTCTGTGCCTTCCTGTCCTGTATTTAGAAAAAGCAGCTAGAATATTTCTCCATTAACTCTTGAGATTCACAGGACTGTCTAGCTCTGAGTCCTAGCAATAGACTCCTTAGAGGAGTAGTAAATTGATCTAGACTTTCTCTAGATAATGCAGGCGGAAGACCTGGGTTCCCGGGGTGGGGCGCTGCAGCTCTT